GCCCACAAGAAATGCTCGGTAGACATGCTAGTGACGGCTTCAAGGTGCACGGCCTTGGTTGCAAGGCATATAAATATGGCTACGTAACCTTTATACACCGTGTGCCCTCTATACTTCGACGATTTTATTTCGATGGCACCTGTGTAGTCCACTCCAGTTGCAACAAATGCGCGTTGAGGTGGATTTACACGTTTTGCGGGCAGGTCTCCCATCAATTGAGAGACTAACGAAGGTTTGTTACGGAAGCAAATGATGCAATGCCGGAGATGAAGTCTCACAGTTTTGTGAGCGTGGATGATCCAAAATTTTCGACGGATGTATGTAAGCGTCAATTGCGCTCCACCGTGTAATGTAATTTGGTGAGCAAAGTCGATTAGAAGTTTCGTAAAGTGGTGATTGCTCGGCAAAATCATGGGGTGCTTTTGATCATATGGCAGATTCGCATGATGTAAGCGACCGCGTATGCGAAGAACTTCGTTTCCATCTAGGAAAGGTGTCAAACTGACTAGTTTGCTTGTTGTGGGTATGTTGATTTTAGATTTAATACATCGAATTTCCGAGCCAAATGTTTCACACTGTACCATGTGAACAATTCGAAAGAGACTTTGCTGAAGTTCGTTAGTGGTGAGCGGTCCACTATGACGGTCTTCCTTGCGAGTTTTGCGAAGATTATAAAAGAATCGTAGCAGCCTAGCTGTTATACGTACGAGTTTGATGTAGGAAGAATATCGTAGTAGAAACGAAGGTTCGGTAATTATCGAAAGCGCTAATACTTTAGCTGGTTTTTCTTCGGTAGCTGTGCTGTCGATATCGTCTGGGCTACTAGAAGAAATAGGCCAGGTCGATTTATCTTGCCGAAGCCACGCAGGACCGATCCACCAAAGATCGAATTGTTGAAGTTGAGTCGGAGTTAAACCTCTAGTCGCGCAGTCGGCCGGATTATCCTGAGTTTTGACATGACTCCATTGACTGGGCAAGCTAACTGACAAAATTTTAGCTACGCGATTCGCCACGTAGAGTTTCCATCGATGTATATCACCGGCAATCCAGTGTAGGACGATCGTTGCATCGGTCCAATAATATATCGGAATCTCACCACAGCGTTGTTGTAAGTGTTGTTGCGCCCATTTGGCAACGGTTGTAGCTAATACTGCACCACATAACTCTACTCGTGGAATCGTTATTAGATTCTGTGGTGTTACCTTGGCTTTAGACGTGATCAGATGGGTGTGGATCTCACCATGTTGGTATTGTATGCGCAGATATACGGCAGCTGCGTAAGCAGATAACGATCCGTCGCAGAAGGAATGTATTTCCATTGAGTGTGGTCGTAGCGTGTAATTAAGCCAGCGTGGTATTGAGATGTTTTCTATATTAGGTAGCTCAGCAACAAAATTTTGCCATAAGATGGCCAGAGTTGATGGCAGCTCTTCATCCCACTCTAGTCCGGTATGTTTTTCGTCTTGACGCTTTATCTTCGTTGACCAAATTTCTTTTAGAATAATTTTCGCAGCAATAGTTATTGGATTCAAAAATCCAAGCGGATCACATATGCGCGCGATAGTAGCTAGCACAGACCTTTTAGTTGCTGTATGAAAAATTGAAAAGTTTAAAGAGAAAGTAAGAAAATCGGGAAACGTTCCTTCTCGTCTTGAGCGATCTGGTGAATAACTCTGATTGCGGTGTATGGAGCCGAGGCTGTACCAAAGGTCACAGTGGTGAGACAGTATTCTTGGACGTTTCCATCTTTATTTCGCCACAGAATGCGTTGGTATTGCGCATCATCTTGGTGCATATCAATGCATCGGTACATTTTTTGTATGTCCGCCAAGAAAACGAATTTGTGCAGACGCCAATTCAAAATGACTGCTGGGAGGTCATTTTGCAATGGTGGGCCGGTGCACAACATATCGTTTAAGGAACGGCCATTTGATGTTTTTGAAGAGGCGTCATACACAATGCGCACCTTAGTGTTGGATCTATCTTTCTTTACTACCGCGTGATGCGGCAAAACACAAGATGTGAACGTGGGCTTGTTAGATGCAGTCAGCAAATAATGTTGGTCCTCACTCGTTGTTGCCGGAACAATTTGATTGAGGTGAAAATAATCTTCTATACCCTCCGTGTATTGCCCATGTAGGGTTTCGTCGTGCTGAAATTTACGTTCCAGGTGTAAAAACCGATTAAGTGCAATTTGCTTGGATTTCCCTAACGTTTGATTAGGGTCGTAAATTGATTTTAACGGAAGTCGAACAAGATATTTTCCATTGTCTTGTCTTACGTGTGTTTTTTGAAAAAACTCTTCACACCACTTGTCTTGCTCAGACATTGGTGTTTCTGTAGGCACTTGTTCGTTTTCGTAGAACTTCTGCACAAGGGCCTCTAGTTCAAGGTTCGCGTGATGGCAACGAACTGTGATAGCTGACGATGGTGGAGAATCGATTCGACCCAACAAAATCCAGCCAAGATGTGTTTTTTGAGCTATTGGCTGATCAAATGCGCCAATGCGCATTTCCGGTAACAAGATTTGAGCAACCATGTCGGCACCAAGAATCAGGTCGATTTTCTTCGGCTGATAGTATAATGGGTCTGCTAGAGTAAGACCTTGAAGATGAGACAATTGTTGTGGCACGCTGCGCCTACTTGGCAACTCGGTTGTCAGTTGCTTCAACACATACGCGCTTTCAATAGGAGCGGCAAAGGTTTTATCGTGGCAAGAATGAAGAGTGCAGCTTACCAAAAACTTTGACTGGCTTAGCGCACTTGGACCCACTCCACAGATGCTTGCAGCAGTAGGATGACGTGCAAGGCCTAAACGTTGAACTGCATTTTCGGAAATCAGTGTCCCTTCTGAACCTTGGTCTATAAGGGCGTAAAACGTTGAAGATTGGTTTGTTGCTTCGTTACGTAGTGACACTAAAGCTGTGGCCAACAGAACCTGTCTGGGTGAGTTAACCGCTGATGTTCGTAGACCAAAATGTGCAGAATTTGCTGATAATGTAGCATGTGCATTTGTTACGCGCCTTAGATCAAAGGCTGACGTGGACATAGCGTGGGAATTTATTGGGGCTACTTGTCCCTGTGCGGGAGCCGATGCGGTGTGTTGAGCGAGTGGCAGCGCAGCTGTATTGGTTAGCGAAGTCCGTGGGAAGTGTAAGAGCGTGTGGTGACGTTGACCACATTGGATGCAATTTTTACTGCTTGTGCATTGCGACAATGCATGAGACTTGCTCAAACAATTTAGACACAGCTTGGCCTTGTCAACAATGCCTTTTCTTTCAAAACAATCTTTGGAAAGAAACATTGGGCAACGACGTAGTATATGTGCTTGTCCACAAAGTCCACAGCAATCTTGAGAAGATGGATTGACTTTAGTGGCTGCATGGTGTGCTTTGACGTTATGTGTCGGTCGCGCAGATGATTTTGATTTGTAAAGATGACGATTTTTAATATCGTTAGACAACATACGTGAAGACGTGGCATTAAAGGCTAAGCTACGATTTTCGATAGCATCAATGGTGAAGAGGCGATTGGTTAAGAACTCTTCTAGGTCAAAAAAGGTGGGAATCTCTATTTTGCTTCCCAGGTGGCGCTCCCATGCTGAGTGGGTTTCAGTTGGTAATTTTGTGGTTAAGTAATGGGCAATCCAATGATCGCATTCCCCAATTGGGAGCTTAAGGCGTTTAAATTCATTAACACATACATTCGCCACATTAAGCAGGGTTTTGATGTCGTCAGATTTTTCTTTAACAAGAACTGGTAAGTTGTACAGCGTGTTCATATGATGGGAAAATATTATTCGCGGGTTATTATAACGTTTTACTAACAGATCCCATGCAGTGGTATAATTCGCTTCTGTCAGAAGCATTTGTTGTATGTCAAGATCACGCTCAAGTGGCAAAGCCTGCTTCAAATAATGAAACTTTTGGATGGGATTTAATTCAATGTTATTATGAATCAATCGGTTGAAAGAATCGTGAAAGCTGGCCCAGTCGGTAAACTTGCCAGAAAACGATGGTACTGGTAACCGCGGGAATTGCGTTGAAGCGACAAATCGCACCTGGGAACTAGTTGGCTGCGTGCCGCTCTTTGTCTCCTCCTTTTCGGATGTAGGGGGAAACAGTTCGTCATGACGCTGTGTGAGCAGACAGAAAAGTTCCAAATGAAGTTCTTCGAACTGGGAGGCAATATCAGTGGTGAGGTATTCGTCGTCCGACTTAATGTCAGAACAGACAATAGATTTGTGCGTGGAACGAAATTCCTCATTGAGCTCATCAACACGCTTTAATCGTTGCTGAAAATAGGTTTTAGTTTTTCGCCCAAGTGAATCCTTTTTAAAGTTGACGTGTATTTTCTCAAGGGACGCAAGCCGATTTACCTGCAGCTTAATTAATGCTGTATCACCCATATTTTTATTTGCTAATATATATATGTATATATAGCGTAAATGAGATTTTAGAACTTACGTTTAAGTTTATGTAGGTGATGAACGTAAATGTTCCCTTTGCGGCGTATTAGAGTTGAGCGGAAAAAATAAATCCGATGATTATTTCACCACTAAAGTTGACTCAAAGTGTTAGGACGAGCGTAAATATTCCTTTGTGGCGAATTGGAGTTGAGCGAAAAAAGTTGAGCGCAAGAAAAAATCCAACGATGAATTGAGCCACGGACGTTACAGCCGTTAAAGATGTGTACAACGTTGGCAGAGGTTAAAATTTTGACTGCAGCGCGCCGGACAGTACATACGCTAACGGCGACCAATTGTATTACGCTTTTCTGCGAACAGCAACCAGTGACTGCAGCGCGCCGAGTTAAGTGAACTGCATACGCTGACAGCGCACAAGTGGGTAACCGATGCCCTTGAAACTGCAAACAGCGGTCAAAGTGGTTCTCTTTTGCAAAATATATATATATATGTAGATGTTTTGGTTTGTTCTTTTTGAAGGAAGGAGGATTCCCCTCATGGGCCACCATAAAATGTGTAGTATTGACGAATACTATAGTAACGGGGTCCCTATGAACTGTTCTTCATAAAAATGATCGCTCCTTTGTCGTTAATAAGATGATATTTATTGTGTACAATTATATATGTTTAGTTGATATACTATAAGTAAACGATGTGAACACCACCGTCCGTGGTGTTTCTGGCCGCTGTTTTACTTGTACTGAATTTCCTCGTCAGCTTCCAGAGCCATGCAAGCTTAACCGTCCCTTGCATGGAGTGGGAGTATGCATAAAGGTGTAGCTGAGCAAGTTGGTGATATTCCGTTACATCGTGAGTGAAGCTAAGCGGACTGTAGAGAACGAGTATACTGCTTAGCAAGTGCAAGTTGTTACTCCAGCTGGCGTAGACAGTGGCGGTACCGAAGGGGAGACTGTGTTTAACTGATGTAGCACAGTGAGTTGCGTAAGTGTTCGCTGCAAATTGTACATGCCGCCCCCGATGCTGTCTCCAGCATTATGATGAACGTTTGTTTTTTGATGACAGCGAGTTTGTTGAGGCACCGTGGTGACTATAAGAAAATAACAATGGGGTTAGTGAATTATGTTGGCATCATTGCAAGTTGGAATCGGCAATCTGCAAATTTTCGAAACCGACCGCTTGTAAAGACCGTTTGGCGTACGAACAGTGACGACACGAACAAGGTGGTCTGATCCGGGATGTAGTTCCGTAATACGCATCAATAACCATTGATTGGGTGGTAATCGATCATCCTTTATCAAGACAAGTTCACCGACTGCTAAATTTTGTTCTTGTTGTCTCCATTTGGGACGCGCTTGAAGATGCGAGAGCCAATCTGAGGACCATCTTATCCAAAATTGTTGAACCAATCTTTGGAGCTCAAAATATTGTAAAGACAACGATTTGTTTTCAGGAGCCGATTCCGGTGGTGGCAGTAAAGCATCGCCGATTAGGAAGTGCGCGGGTGTGAGCACCAAAAGATCATCTGGATCGGAGGTAAGTGGGCATAACGGTCTAGAGTTAAGGCACGCCTCAATACGAACCAAGACTGTAGATAGCTGTTCGTATGTCAACCGGGTTCCACCGACAGCTCGTTTCAAATGGTATTTAATTGATTTTACATTGGCTTCCCAAAGTCCCCCAAAGTTGGGAGATTGAGGTGGATTAAAATGCCATTGAATATGTAGGTCAGTCAGTTTTGGGATGACTTCGCGTTCCAAGTCGGCTCGAAATTTTTGGTAATTAGTTTTTAGAATGCCATCTGCACCAATGAAGTTGGTGCCACAGTCACTATAGATGTCTTGACAAAGGCCACGTCGCCCGATGAAACGCTGTAGCGCCCACAAGAAATGCTCGGTAGACATGCTAGTGACGGCTTCAAGGTGCACGGCCTTGGTTGCAAGGCATATAAATATGGCTACGTAACCTTTATACACCGTGTGCCCTCTATACTTCGACGATTTTATTTCGATGGCACCTGTGTAGTCCACTCCAGTTGCAACAAATGCGCGTTGAGGTGGATTTACACGTTTTGCGGGCAGGTCTCCCATCAATTGAGAGACTAACGAAGGTTTGTTACGGAAGCAAATGATGCAATGCCGGAGATGAAGTCTCACAGTTTTGTGAGCGTGGATGATCCAAAATTTTCGACGGATGTATGTAAGCGTCAATTGCGCTCCACCGTGTAATGTAATTTGGTGAGCAAAGTCGATTAGAAGTTTCGTAAAGTGGTGATTGCTCGGCAAAATCATGGGGTGCTTTTGATCATATGGCAGATTCGCATGATGTAAGCGACCGCGTATGCGAAGAACTTCGTTTCCATCTAGGAAAGGTGTCAAACTGACTAGTTTGCTTGTTGTGGGTATGTTGATTTTAGATTTAATACATCGAATTTCCGAGCCAAATGTTTCACACTGTACCATGTGAACAATTCGAAAGAGACTTTGCTGAAGTTCGTTAGTGGTGAGCGGTCCACTATGACGGTCTTCCTTGCGAGTTTTGCGAAGATTATAAAAGAATCGTAGCAGCCTAGCTGTTATACGTACGAGTTTGATGTAGGAAGAATATCGTAGTAGAAACGAAGGTTCGGTAATTATCGAAAGCGCTAATACTTTAGCTGGTTTTTCTTCGGTAGCTGTGCTGTCGATATCGTCTGGGCTACTAGAAGAAATAGGCCAGGTCGATTTATCTTGCCGAAGCCACGCAGGACCGATCCACCAAAGATCGAATTGTTGAAGTTGAGTCGGAGTTAAACCTCTAGTCGCGCAGTCGGCCGGATTATCCTGAGTTTTGACATGACTCCATTGACTGGGCAAGCTAACTGACAAAATTTTAGCTACGCGATTCGCCACGTAGAGTTTCCATCGATGTATATCACCGGCAATCCAGTGTAGGACGATCGTTGCATCGGTCCAATAATATATCGGAATCTCACCACAGCGTTGTTGTAAGTGTTGTTGCGCCCATTTGGCAACGGTTGTAGCTAATACTGCACCACATAACTCTACTCGTGGAATCGTTATTAGATTCTGTGGTGTTACCTTGGCTTTAGACGTGATCAGATGGGTGTGGATCTCACCATGTTGGTATTGTATGCGCAGATATACGGCAGCTGCGTAAGCAGATAACGATCCGTCGCAGAAGGAATGTATTTCCATTGAGTGTGGTCGTAGCGTGTAATTAAGCCAGCGTGGTATTGAGATGTTTTCTATATTAGGTAGCTCAGCAACAAAATTTTGCCATAAGATGGCCAGAGTTGATGGCAGCTCTTCATCCCACTCTAGTCCGGTATGTTTTTCGTCTTGACGCTTTATCTTCGTTGACCAAATTTCTTTTAGAATAATTTTCGCAGCAATAGTTATTGGATTCAAAAATCCAAGCGGATCACATATGCGCGCGATAGTAGCTAGCACAGACCTTTTAGTTGCTGTATGAAAAATTGAAAAGTTTAAAGAGAAAGTAAGAAAATCGGGAAACGTTCCTTCTCGTCTTGAGCGATCTGGTGAATAACTCTGATTGCGGTGTATGGAGCCGAGGCTGTACCAAAGGTCACAGTGGTGAGACAGTATTCTTGGACGTTTCCATCTTTATTTCGCCACAGAATGCGTTGGTATTGCGCATCATCTTGGTGCATATCAATGCATCGGTACATTTTTTGTATGTCCGCCAAGAAAACGAATTTGTGCAGACGCCAATTCAAAATGACTGCTGGGAGGTCATTTTGCAATGGTGGGCCGGTGCACAACATATCGTTTAAGGAACGGCCATTTGATGTTTTTGAAGAGGCGTCATACACAATGCGCACCTTAGTGTTGGATCTATCTTTCTTTACTACCGCGTGATGCGGCAAAACACAAGATGTGAACGTGGGCTTGTTAGATGCAGTCAGCAAATAATGTTGGTCCTCACTCGTTGTTGCCGGAACAATTTGATTGAGGTGAAAATAATCTTCTATACCCTCCGTGTATTGCCCATGTAGGGTTTCGTCGTGCTGAAATTTACGTTCCAGGTGTAAAAACCGATTAAGTGCAATTTGCTTGGATTTCCCTAACGTTTGATTAGGGTCGTAAATTGATTTTAACGGAAGTCGAACAAGATATTTTCCATTGTCTTGTCTTACGTGTGTTTTTTGAAAAAACTCTTCACACCACTTGTCTTGCTCAGACATTGGTGTTTCTGTAGGCACTTGTTCGTTTTCGTAGAACTTCTGCACAAGGGCCTCTAGTTCAAGGTTCGCGTGATGGCAACGAACTGTGATAGCTGACGATGGTGGAGAATCGATTCGACCCAACAAAATCCAGCCAAGATGTGTTTTTTGAGCTATTGGCTGATCAAATGCGCCAATGCGCATTTCCGGTAACAAGATTTGAGCAACCATGTCGGCACCAAGAATCAGGTCGATTTTCTTCGGCTGATAGTATAATGGGTCTGCTAGAGTAAGACCTTGAAGATGAGACAATTGTTGTGGCACGCTGCGCCTACTTGGCAACTCGGTTGTCAGTTGCTTCAACACATACGCGCTTTCAATAGGAGCGGCAAAGGTTTTATCGTGGCAAGAATGAAGAGTGCAGCTTACCAAAAACTTTGACTGGCTTAGCGCACTTGGACCCACTCCACAGATGCTTGCAGCAGTAGGATGACGTGCAAGGCCTAAACGTTGAACTGCATTTTCGGAAATCAGTGTCCCTTCTGAACCTTGGTCTATAAGGGCGTAAAACGTTGAAGATTGGTTTGTTGCTTCGTTACGTAGTGACACTAAAGCTGTGGCCAACAGAACCTGTCTGGGTGAGTTAACCGCTGATGTTCGTAGACCAAAATGTGCAGAATTTGCTGATAATGTAGCATGTGCATTTGTTACGCGCCTTAGATCAAAGGCTGACGTGGACATAGCGTGGGAATTTATTGGGGCTACTTGTCCCTGTGCGGGAGCCGATGCGGTGTGTTGAGCGAGTGGCAGCGCAGCTGTATTGGTTAGCGAAGTCCGTGGGAAGTGTAAGAGCGTGTGGTGACGTTGACCACATTGGATGCAATTTTTACTGCTTGTGCATTGCGACAATGCATGAGACTTGCTCAAACAATTTAGACACAGCTTGGCCTTGTCAACAATGCCTTTTCTTTCAAAACAATCTTTGGAAAGAAACATTGGGCAACGACGTAGTATATGTGCTTGTCCACAAAGTCCACAGCAATCTTGAGAAGATGGATTGACTTTAGTGGCTGCATGGTGTGCTTTGACGTTATGTGTCGGTCGCGCAGATGATTTTGATTTGTAAAGATGACGATTTTTAATATCGTTAGACAACATACGTGAAGACGTGGCATTAAAGGCTAAGCTACGATTTTCGATAGCATCAATGGTGAAGAGGCGATTGGTTAAGAACTCTTCTAGGTCAAAAAAGGTGGGAATCTCTATTTTGCTTCCCAGGTGGCGCTCCCATGCTGAGTGGGTTTCAGTTGGTAATTTTGTGGTTAAGTAATGGGCAATCCAATGATCGCATTCCCCAATTGGGAGCTTAAGGCGTTTAAATTCATTAACACATACATTCGCCACATTAAGCAGGGTTTTGATGTCGTCAGATTTTTCTTTAACAAGAACTGGTAAGTTGTACAGCGTGTTCATATGATGGGAAAATATTATTCGCGGGTTATTATAACGTTTTACTAACAGATCCCATGCAGTGGTATAATTCGCTTCTGTCAGAAGCATTTGTTGTATGTCAAGATCACGCTCAAGTGGCAAAGCCTGCTTCAAATAATGAAACTTTTGGATGGGATTTAATTCAATGTTATTATGAATCAATCGGTTGAAAGAATCGTGAAAGCTGGCCCAGTCGGTAAACTTGCCAGAAAACGATGGTACTGGTAACCGCGGGAATTGCGTTGAAGCGACAAATCGCACCTGGGAACTAGTTGGCTGCGTGCCGCTCTTTGTCTCCTCCTTTTCGGATGTAGGGGG